CCCTCAGGTGGAGCTCTCTGGTGGAGCTCTCTGGTGGAGCTCTCTGGTGGAGCCCTCAGGTGGAACTCTCTGGTGGAACTCTCTGGTGGAGCTCTCTGGTGTGGCTCTCTGGTGGAGCCCTCAGGTGGAGCACTCTGGTGGAACTCTCTGGTGGAGCTCTGCTTGACCCAGCCCTGGAATCCATCCCAATTGTGGTGGCCACAACAAAACCCACTCGCGATCGATGTCCATCCACTCTCTGCCCAGGTGGTTGTTGGTCTTATTATTATTATTACAGTATTAGTGGTGGGTCCTGTGTGTGTGTGTCCACTACGAACCTGGCGACCCCAGTTAGATTCAGGCTCATGGCCGACATCAGTGACGATTATCTGAACCGGTCCCGGGCCTCCCCTAGGCAGACTCAGTCTTAAATGAGTGCCTGGCGCGATGTGTAAACATCGCCGCTAGGGAGACAAAGGCGGCCGGGCGTGGTGCTGGCCACCCACCCCCTCGTGTGCCGTGCCGGCCTTCATAGGCGCCACTCTCCAACAGCACTTGCCCCAACAGTCTGTTACAGGCCACACGGGGGGGGCGGTGGGGGTCTTTGTTGTGCATCTGGATGTGAACAATAAACACTCCGAATGGAGAAGCGAGCCACCCATTAAGACCGGTGACGGCATGCGTCAGTGATTACGTCAGTGATTACGTCACCACCACCGCGCCCGACCGCCTTTGTCTCCGGCCAGTGCTGATGTTGATGCAGCGCACCAATCGGTGACCTATAACAGGGATGGCCAACCAGCGATTTCAGATTTCACAGCTCGCCACTGATGTTAGCCGTGGTCGGGACTCGAACTCCTTTTGACTGCTGGGGGTTCATAGCGCGGTGTGTTTTAGCCACCTCGTCACATATTTGGCGAAGACAAAGATCCCCCATATAGCCTTGTAGAATGTTTGATCAGTGGCGCAGTAACGACATTTTCAGCACCTCGGCAATTCCATATCGCAGCTCCCCTAATCAGTGATCTTTCACCTGGGGGTGCACGCTGCGATATGCCCTTTCTGGAGGTGCAAGACACGGCCAGATTTGTTTTAGAAGGTAAATCATCGAAGACGAATTAAGCACGGACACGTAAGTACAACTACTTCGTTTCACCAAACCCTGCGTATTTAGCAACATTCCACTGTTACGTAACGACCGAGAATCGAAGGGGTTGCAAGGCTGTAGTAAAGGTTCACAAGAAGCACTGCCCCAATCACATCACGGTGGTTCTCAAGGTGGCACTCAATTCGTAGCTTTGGCCACGAGGTGGGGGTGGGGGCAAGGCCCCCCCAATGCCCCCGCTCCCATCTCGTCTCGCTGCTGGGTTCGATGTTTGCGCCACCGGCCAAGCCACCGCGTGCCGCGCGGCGATGCGATGGCGAATCCCGGCAGCGCGCTCCCTCGGCGGTCGAGCGAGCGTGCTCGCAATCGACGACACCTTTGCGAGTTCGACTCCTGGTGCGGGGATGGACGATATATATGGCTCAACAGCAGTTGTCCTATAGCGGGGGGGTGGGGGACTCGCCCCCCCCCCCCACCCCCCCCCCGCTATAGGAGTGTGGAGTTATCCGCCACTGGCTTCACGGCTGTGAACGGGAGGTCACTTAGGCTTTCGTCGAGTAATGTAGCGGGAATGGAAGCGTCGAGATCCTGGCTGAGTGGCTTCGGTGTCGGGAGCGCCAACCTGTTCTGTGCCCGCGTGCATATGTACTTCGCCAGCAGCACTTTCCCCAACATTCTACAAGGCTCTATGGGGGATCTTTGTCTTTGCCAAATCTGTGATTAGCGCGCACCGCGTTATGAACCTCCGACCGTCTAACATCAGTGGCTAGCAGTGACATCTGAAACCGCCGGTTGACCATCCCTGTTATCGGTCGTCGATTGGTGCGGTCAGCACTGGGGGAAGACAAAGGCGGCCGGGTGTGGTGGTGGTGACCGGATAAAACCACTGACGCATGCCGTCACCGGTCTTAATCGGCGCTCGCTTCTCCACTGGAAGTGTTTATCGTTCACATCCGGATAAACAAAAGACAAATATCCCCCCGTATAGCCTTAAGAGACTGTTGGGGCAAGTGCTGTTAGCGAGTAGCACCTATGAATGCCAACACGGCGCACGAGGGGGTGTGTGGCGATGTTTACGCATGGCACTGGGTATTCATTTGAGGCCGAGTAGATCTAGGGGAGGCCCAGCACCGGTTCAAATAATCGTCACTGATGTCGGCCTTGAGCGGGAATCGAACTCGGGGTGGCCGGTGTCTGTAGCGCAGCGCGCTAACCGCTACACCACCGCTACCCGCATCCAGATGCGTACGCGCAGTGGTGCACAAGCGAAATTAACAACAAACTCAACACATTCGTCAATAACAGCACCGTTGTGACCGAAATCGACGGCGTATATCAGGCAATGACCCTTTCTTCACAGCAACAAGGCCTCGCGATGTACTACGTGCCGTGAAGAAAATGATGCTGCGCGAAACGTCGCCTATTGTATACGCGTTATATTTGAGGCCAAATATAAAGATTCCCCGTATAGCCTGAAAAAGACTGCTGGGGCAAGTGCTGTTGGCGAGCACCTATGAAAGCCGGCAGGGCACACGAGGGGGTGGGTGGCCAACACCACGCCCGGCCGCCTTTGTTTCCCCAGTGGCGATGTTTACACATCGCACCAGGTACTCATTTGAGGCTGAGTCTACCTAGGGGAGGCCCAGGACCGGTTCAAATAATCGCCAGGTTCGTAGCGCAAAGCGCTAACCGCCACACTAACCGGTCCCCATATTTGAGGCTGCACACACGCACGCACACACACACACAAAGATCCCCCGTATAGCCTTAACAGACTGTAGGGGCAAGTGCTGTTAGCGAGCACCTATTAAGGCCGAAACGGTACACGAGGGGGTGGGTGGCCAGCACCACGCCCGACCGCCTTTGTCTCCCGAGTGGCGATGTTTACACACCGCACCAGGTACTCATTTGAGGCTGAGTCGACCTAGGGGAGGCCCGGGACCGGTTCAGGTAATCGTCACTGGTGTTGGCCGTGAGCGGGAACGCACGCACACACGCACACACACAGACGCACGCACACACACGCACGCACACACACACACAGACGCACACACGCGCGCACACACGCACACACACAGACGCACGCACACACACGCACGCACACACGCACGCACACACACGGTGTTCTTGACGAGTGTGTTGAGTTTAAATGTGTTTCTTTTCACGTCGTGTACAAGGCACTTGCGCGTAACAGCATCTCACAACCAGCTCACAGTCAGCACGTGGACAGCGGGCAGGATCCATTCCGCGAGTCGCATCGCATTCGAGACCACGACATCAATATTAAAAACCAGCATGCTGCTTTTCACCGTGAAGATAGGCGATGATGATTCCACTTACTACAGACATTATATATAACTGGATACGTCCCTTTCGTTTGCTGCGTCGTAAAAGTCACCGTCGTCATGATCGTCAACAGCAGCAGCAGCCATGGTCAGTCCACTGCTGGATGCATGCATTCATTCCTGCGTCAATCGCCTTCTCTTATTGTGCGCACCCAGAAAGCAACGCACGAACGCGACACGTGGTGTACGCGTGCACATGCACAGCACATGCGAATATTCACCTGCGGGTCCGTGCACATGCGTGCGTGCGCGTGCACGTGTGAGCGCGCGCACGTGTGTCTTGACGTGCGCGCAAAGATAGAAAGATCCCCCTCCCCGTACAGAGCCTCCAGCCGATTGTCGTGGCAAGGGCTGCGAGCGAGCAGCCCCTATGAAGGCCGGCACCGCGCACGACTGGTTGTGTCTGGGCAGCAACACCGCACGCCCGGGCCGCCTTTGTCTCCCTTGCGCTGATGGGGTTTTTTTGTTGTTTTTACACCGCACCAGGTACTCGTTTATGGTCGAGTCGACCTAGGGGAGGAGACCCAGGGCCGGTTCTGATATTCGCCAATTGGTATTGGTCGTTGCCGGGAGACGAATTCTCATCGCCGGATAGCGGATGTGTCTGTGTGCGTGGGTGTGCCGAAGCGCCTGTGCATGCATTGTTAAACATAAACGCGCGCGCGTGCGTGCGTGCGCCTATTCGTATAGCACGGGAGCGGTGGCGCAGTGATGAGGATGCTGATCACGCTCCGAATCCGGCCGCCTGCCTGAGTTTGATTCCTGGCCACGGATCAACGTCAGCGGCGAATTATATCTGAACCTATCCCGGGCATTACCACCGGGGCCGACTCAGCCTCAATAAAGTACGCGGCGTGGGGTGTAAACGTAACAAAGCTGAGGTCACAGGATTTATAGCGTAGAGCTGAAACCTCCACTACGCCACTGCTTCAGCCTGCTATGTGCGTGTAACGATGCACGTGTTGAGTGTTACAGGTGCGCATCTGAATGTAGGTACATGTACACGTGTAGGTGTGTGTGTGTGTGACAGTAGATTTGCGTGTGTGTATAAGTCAATAGTGGATGTCCCATGGATTAACTCGCCCCGCCATGTGAATGTGGAATTTCCACCACTGGCTCAGCCGCTGGACGCGAGAGATGAGCATGCTTGATTGTTCATTTGAGCAGGAAACCACACTATGTGTGTACGTGTGTGTGTGTACGTGTGTGTGTACGTGTGTGTGTACGTGTGTGTGTACGAGAGCGGTGGGGTAGCGGTTAGCACGCTACGAACCCAGAGAATCGAGTTCGATTCCCGCTCACGACCAATAACAGTGGCGAACACCTGAACTGGTCCTTCTCTCGGGCCACTCAGCCACAAATGAGCACCTGGTGCGATGTGTAGTTAACAGCGCCACTGGGGAGACAAAGGCGGCCGGGCGTGGTGCTGGCCACCCACCCCCTCGTGTACCGTTCCGGCCTTCATAGGTGCTCGCTAACATCACTTGCCCCGACAGTCTGTTAAGGCTATATGGGGGATCTTTGTCTTTGTGTAGGTATGTGTGTAGGTGTGTGTGTGTATGAAACCTCACCATCCGCATCGTAGCGGCTCCACGCATCCAGAAACTGCGAGGCAGAGATCTCCGCCTGTTGCAGGAACGAGGTCTGCTTGTCTGACATCTTCTTCAGCGGTCCCCGTTTACGCAGCCTATCTCTCTATATATCTCTCTCTATATCTCTCTCTATATCTCTCTCTCTCCCCGGTGTGTCTCGGGCTCTCCAATGGAGCTAACAGCCTTGGCCGCTGCACGCTGCGAGTATGATGAGTCTTGAGTGTGAGCGAGCGAGCGTGAGTGAGTGAGTGAGCCTCTCTCTCTCTCTCTCCCTCTGTCCGCGAGTCGTCCACTCTGTGGCGAGCGCCTCACTTTCGCGTCCACAGCACGAAGGGCTCGGAGCGAGGGCGCGCTCGTCCTTAAACGCCGCCTCGCACCTGCCGCCCACCGCACCCCTCCATCCCTCCCCTCCCTCCCAACTCCATCTCCAATCACGATGGCCTCCCACACCCCCATCACAACACCTCCTTCTTCAGCGCGTGCTGCACGCTCGGTGCGTAATTTCGTATCGTGCGGGAGCGGGTAGCGCAGCGGTTGAAGGGTGCCGCTGACCGCGACGAATCCGTCCGCAGCCCAAGTTGGATTCCTGGCCGCGGCTAACATCAGCGGTGAATTGTATCCGGACCGATCCTGGGGGCTTTGCCCCTGGGGTCGACTCAGCCTCAACTCAAAGACTCGGCTCCACCGTCCCGCGCCCTATTCACGCTTCCGGGGCTGTTAGCGAGCACCTATTAAGGTGTCGGCAAGGGGGTTGATGGTGATGCTGGCGATAACACCACGCCCGGCCGCCTTTGTCTCCCCCAACTCTCCTCCGAACGCCCACGCACACACAAAGACCCCCACTCCAAATATAAGCAATGCACGAACGTGACACGTGTTGTACGCATTCGCAATTAAATAACTCTTTCGGCAACGCGTGCACGTGCACATGTGCTGCACATGCGTGCACGTGCACATGCATGTATGCACACGCGCATGTGTGTCTTGACGTGCGTGCAAAGATTAAAAAAAAAATTCCCTCCCCGTATAGCCTGCAGCTGACTGTTGGGTGTAGGGCTGAACGATTAATCGATTTCAAATCGAAATTTGAAAAATGCGATTTTTGCGATTTGAAAAGTCCTGTGTCTTTCTTTTTGGAATTGTTTTATTTTTTTTATTAATATTACTTTATTTATTTAACTTAACAATTGTTCTATGATTGATTGTTCTATTTCAATTAAAACATTTTAATAAATGCATGTTGGAAGTAATTAATACATGTTTATGGTATCGCGTGGTAATGCTCCATCACGTGTTTTAAATCGATTACACAGTGAATATTGAACTGAAGCTTGACTTAAAAAAAATGTAACCGCAAATCAAATCGCAATGTCAGAAAAATCGCAATTAGATATTTTCATCAAAAATCGTTCAGCCCTCCTGTTGGGGCAAGTGCTGTTAGCGAGTAGCCACCTACGAAGGCCGACACGGCGCCCGAGGGGGTGCCTGGCCAGCAACCACCCCCGACCGCCTTTGTCTCCCCCGTGCTGATGTTTTACACACCGCACCAGGTACTCATTTGAGGCCGAGTCGACCTAAGGGGATGCCCAGGACCGATTCATAGCACTTGCCCCGACAGTCTGTTACAGGCGATACGGGGGATATTTGTCTTTGTGTATATAGGTGTGTGTATATGTATATTTGTGTGTATGTGTATATATGTGTGTGTATGTGTATAGGTCCACTCAGCCTCAAATAAGTACCTGGTGCGGTTTGTAAGAATCGCTACTGGAGAGACAAAGGCGGTCGGGCGTGGTGCTGGCCACCCATCCCATCGTGTGCCGTGCCGGCTTCATAGGTGGCTACTCGCTAACAACACTTGCCCCTACAGTCTGTTCAAGCTACACGGGGGGCCTTTGTATGTGTGCTTGTCTCGTGCTGGCCGTGAGCGGGAGTCGAACTCGGGTGGCCGGGTTCGTAGCGCAACCCCGCTAACCGCTCCAGCACCGCTACTCCACACACACCCCCACACACACACCCCACACACACACACACCCCACACACACACCCCCACACACACCCCACACAGACACCTCCACACACACACCCACACACCCATACACCCACACACACCCCCACACACACCCACCCCACACACACACCCCCACACACACACACACCCACACACACACACCCCCCACACACACACACCCCACACACACACCCCCCCCCACACACACACACCCACACACCCACACACACCCCCACACACACACCCCCCACACACACCCCCCACACATACACCCCCCACACACACCCCCACACACACACACCCCCACACACACATACCCCACACAAACACCCAAACACCCACACACACACCCACACACCCACACACACACCCCCACACACACACACCACACACCCGCACACACACCCCCACACACACACCCCCCCCCACACAACAACAACCGCCATTCGCCACTAAGTGGCGGTGACGTCACCACGACGCTTGTGCCAGGCTATGTGCACCCTGAGGCCACGTGAAGTGTCGACCGCCCACTGGCAGGAGGTCACGGGGCAGACCCAGGTGCCACGGGTCGACTGACTGAGATGACTGGCTGATGCACCACCTGTGTCCCCTACTGTGCCAACCTGCTGTGCTTTAGCCACCCGGCGCTCCGTTCGTTGTTGTGAGCGTCGCTCCTCCGCCCTCCGTTGTTGTTGGAGGGCGACTACCTCCACACACACCCCCACACACACACACCCCCACACACCCACACACACACCCACACACACACACCCCCCCACACACCCCCCACACACACCCCCCCCCCACACACACCCCCCACACACACATCCACACACACACACCCCCACACACACCCCACACACACCCCCCACACACCCCCACACACACCCCCACATACACCCCCACGACACCCCCACACACACCCCCCACGACACCCCCACGACACCCCCACACACACACACCCCCACACACCCCCCCCACACACACCCCCACACACACCCACACACACACCCCCCACACACACCCCCCACACACACCCACACACACACACCCCCCACACACACCCCCACACACACCCACACACACACCCCTCACACACACCCCCACAGACACCCCCACGACACCACCACCACCAACAACAGCCGTGCTGTGTGTAAAGTGTTCGCGGTTGTGCCGCGTGTAAGCCGTCCGATGCTTTTGTTTGTCTGCCCGGGTTGTAGAGGCGTGCTCTTGTTGTTGTCCCGGCGTGACGTCCGACGTTTCGCACCCGCGTGCTTGGGAGCTTCTGCAACCGAACAACAGCGGCAAAGGCGCGGTTTCACCCCCCCCCCCCCCCCCCCCCCCCGAGTGCGAGGTCACCGGCCTCCTCTTCGTTAAGCGTGGCGAGAGTCGGGAGGGAAACGGCGGAACGGTACCCAAAGGAGTGGTTGGTGGGGTTGGCGGGGTAACGCGCCCGAGGTGAAGACCTCCCCAGGGGAGACGGAGCGATGAGGACATCCGACTACGCTGCACAAGGCGCAACACCGCGAGATGTAACGCCCCGGCTTGGAGAGAGGTCTTCATCCAGCAGTGAATAGATCAAGGCTGCTGATGATACGACACACTAGAGATAACGCCGGCTTGGAGAGAAGTCTTCATCCAGCAGTGAATAGATCAAGGCTGCTGATGATACGACACACTAGAGATAACGCCGGCTTGGAGAGAAGTCTTCATCCAGCAGTGAATAGATCAAGGCTGCTGCTGGTGATACTGCACGTGCCTGATGATTGGTAACCGCGTCCCGCGTGACGTGGAGAGCGCTGGTTTAAATTAACGTCAAATTAAGATCGCATATCGTGAGCACACAGGCGCGCGCGCGCGTACACAAGACAAAGATCCCCCGTGTAGCCATTAAGAGACTATTGGGCCAAGTGGTAGCGAGCATCAATTCAGGCCAGCACTGTACATGAGTGGATGGGTGGCCAGCACCACGGCTTTTTGTCTCCCCAGTGGCGATGTTTACACACCACGGCACCGGGTACTCATTTGAGGCCGAGTCAACCTCGGGGAGGCCCAGGACCGGTTCAAAAAATCGTCACTGGGTGTTCGCTACGGTTACATTTGTAGCGAGTCCAACTGAGAGGCAACACATTTATTGTAACACCGTAACACAAAGGCGTAACTGCCCCTTTACAAGCAGATACAGCTTAGGGTGGGGACCACCCAGCTATCTACCCTATACAGGGGAGTTACTGCTACTAGGGTCTCCGATCACGTGGTTGCCCCGTAGGACGAAGAGCTTCAGCTTGAGACGTAGAGCTTCCCGCTTCTAGATGTTAAGCTTACAGCTTGTAGATGTTGAGCTTACAGCTTGTAGATGTTGAGCTTACAGCTTGTAGATGTTGAGCTTCAGCTTGTAGATGTTGAACTTCCAGCTTGTAGGTGTTGAGCTTCCTGCTTGTAGATGTTGAGCTTCAGCTTGTAGATGTTGAGCTTCAGCTTGTAGATGTTGAGTTTCCCGCTTGTAGATGTTGAGCTTCCAGCTTGTAGATGTTGAGCTTCCAGCTTGTAGATGTTGAGCTTACAGCTTGTAGATGTTGAGCTTACAGCTTGTAGATGTTGAGCTTACAGCTTGTAGATGTTGAGCTTCAGCTTGTAGATGTTGAACTTCCAGCTTGTAGGTGTTGAGCTTCCTGCTTGTAGATGTTGAGCTTCAGCTTGTAGATGTTGAGCTTCAGCTTGTAGATGTTGAGTTTCCCGCTTGTAGATGTTGAGCTTCCAGCTTGTAGATGTTGAGCTTCTCGCTTGTAGATATTGAGCTTCCTGCTTGTAGGTGTTGAGCTACCAGCTTGTAGATGTTGAGCTTCCAGCTTGTAGGTGTTGAGCTTCCAGCTTGTAGATGTTGAGCTTCCAGCTTGTAGATGTTGAGCTTCCAGCTTGCAGATGTTGAGCTTCCAGCTTGTAGATGTTGAGCTTCCAGCTTGTAGATGTTGAGCTTCCTGCTTGTAGGTGTTGAGCTTACAGCTTGTAGGTGTTGAGCTTACAGCTTGTACATGTTGAGCTTCCCGCTTGTAGATGTTGAGCATCCAGCTTGTAGATGTTGAGCTTCCTGCTTGTAGGTGTTGAGCTTCCAGCTTGTAGATGTAGAGCTTCCAGCTTGTAGATGTTGAGCTTCCTGCTTGTAGATGTTGAGTTTCCAGCTTGTAGATGTTGAGCTTACAGCTTGTAGATGTTGAGTTTCCCGCTTGTAGATGTTGAGCTTCCTGCTTGTAGATGTTGAGTTTCCTGCTTGTACATGTTGAGCTTCAGCTTGTAGATGTTGAGCTTCCAGCTTGTAGATGTTGAGTTTCCTGCTTGTAGATGTTGAGTT